CACTTCATCTGACACTCAATCAATGGAGCTGTAATTTGTTGCATTTCTAGGAAAAAAGACAGTTTTCTACAATGTTTATGAGATTGAGTAAATTTGACTATAGACAATATTTGCCTTGCATTATACTTACTTACATTAAATTACACTTAAAAACCTAAGCATCCATAAACTAGGATTCCACTGTCACTTAAGTTTTTGAAAGGAAGAAAAGACCAATATAAATTTTGATCCCAGTGTGACCCTGGCCAATGAATTGCCCTTCCCGGGGCTTCAGTCATGATCGTGGTGGAGTTGAACCATGATTTCTGAGGTCTTAGATGCATAGAATATTAGGGCTAGATTGGCCTTAGACACCATCTGGTTCATGTCCCTGTATTGGAGAAAGAAGAAAACAGAGTCCCCTTTAGAAGTAGTCACTTGCCCAAGGCTACCTAGTTAGTAGAGAAAGACCACAAGAATCCAAGCCTGCCAACTCTCTGGCCAACGTCTTTGCTCTGCTCCTTGTCTGCAATATTAACCAGCTGTGATTTACATGCCTCATCTGTGCACTGCAAGAATCCACACATTGTAGCCACATTCCAAAGAAGCAGATGCTGCCATGTAGATGTACATGTGCCTCAAAGACCAAGGACTACAAGAAATCAGGCCAGAGAGAGGAATTTTCATAAAATGAGAGCATCCAGACCACAGCCTTGAGTTTCTGTTTTTCTTCAAGCTACTGCTGTGCAGTGTCAGCAGTATGGTCATCATCACCCTGATGGGCCAGGCTGGAAGGGTAGACTGTGGGTTTGGCCTGGGCTAGAAAGGGTTCTTGTGAACTGAAGGGTCCTTTAAATACACTTCTAAGTCTGCCAGGGGGATTTAGTCACAGAATGAAAAAGCCTCAAAAAGGGGGATGTTATCCCACCAAATGGAAATCAGTGATACTTAAAATTGCTTGGAAAAGGACAGCAGTGCCATGATATGTTTACAAGTTTTCTTTAAATGACATGTCACTAAGGCATCCCCAGCAGACTGTAGGCTCTTATTGGAGTGCTTATGGCTGTGGAACTTTCAGAAGTGGCTGTTGTACCATATTATTACCGGTTTCTGGCATTATTCTAACTAGGATAATGAGGGTTTGGTAGGGTCATCTGGAAAGTTCTGGCAAGAAAGATTAGGATTAGAATTCTGGAATTTAAGGGACTTCAGGGATCATCTCATCTCACCCCCTCATGGACCAGATGAAAAGACCCCAGAATTTTGAAGAGGGATGTTGCCTTATCCGGGGGTGGCATAGCATTCTCATGCTTTATTCAGATGGAAAGGGAAGCACTTCGCTCTCATTTTTTGCCAGGAAATACACATATTCTAAGGGCAAAGGGTAGGGGGCAATTAGAAAAGGTGAAAGGGTTTCAACTATATGTGGAAGGCTTCTGGGTTTGGGAGTTCAGAGGCCGGACTACTAGTCTTGTCTCTGAATTCCGAGCTTCAGTCTCCTCTTCTGTACAACGTGAAATTAAGTAATAGTTAAGCTGTAGTTCCTGCAAGGTGTGACATTCAGGGTAACTAAGGAGGGCGAGTGAGCAGAGTGAGTTTCAGAGCCACCTTTAACCTGAGCAGCCCCATTTTGGTTTTCTATATCGAGCCTTGATAGAATTTTGATAGAAGAAAATGTTCATTGGGGAGAAAATATTTGAAAAACAATAATAACAGCAACAGTATGGGACTAGATAAGTCTCCAGAGGGCCTTGTAGCCTGACATTCTGCAAGTTCTTGACTCTAGGAGAAGAACTCTGCCAGACGCAGATGAGCTCCAGTTGTCAGCTGACCAGCACCCAGCATCCTGCAAAGGGAGGACTGCTCAGGCCTCCTGGCTGCTGCAACCTCTGCAGGGAAGCTAATGTTGATGCTGGGATGGCATTCTGGAAGGGAGTCAGCTGGGAAGGCACAAGTGGAGACATATCTCTTGCCCTCCTTGCCCAATATGTTAATTACTTCTTCCAAAGATTTTCGAAAAATGTGTCTGAATCAGAGATACAAGTACTGTAGGGCACTTCAGGTAGGCAGCTCGGTCTCTGCATTGCCTCAAGCAGACTGCTCCTTTGCTATGCCCGGAGGTCATGAGTCTAATTTTGGAGCAGAGAGAGTGCTGTAAGACTTTCTTGTCCACACCAGATCATATGGGAGTTAATGGCAGATATGGGACTAGAACAGGCATTTCCTGAATCTCAGGCAAGGCCCCAAGACCATGCTGCCCTTTCAAACGGTCTAGTCCATCTCCTTGGGGTTTCAGGGAGGTGTCTTGCCACCCTGGATAGAAAACATGAACCAATTTCCCAAACATTCTTCAACCAGAAAGGCCAAGCTTTGGATAGAAATGTACTCCAGTGTCCTTAATTCAGTGTCAGAATTGATCTTCAGATTCTATTGTGGCCCTTGAAAAATACTTTGTCATTTTTTTCCACTATAAAATGCAGCTGATGTCAGCAACTTAATTTGCCTTGCCAGGAGACTGATTTTTTTTTTTTTTTTTTTTTTTTTTGGCAGAGTAGGGGTTGGGGGCAAAGGAATGAGTTAAATCCTCTATTGTGTGATTATCATCTTGATAAAAGAGTCCTAACAAGGTCAAACTTGGCATCTGTCTAAATAAGAGAAAAACTCATGAGAAATAATTGCTCAGTACATTACTCATTGGTTATGAGGCTTCCAATGAAAGCAAGTGTTCTCACTGAGAAAATTTCTAGGTGGTTGACACATTTGAGAGTAGAGAAGAAAGTTGTTAGGAAATTCACATCTAGACTTGTCTAAATCTATGGAAATTTCTCTTATATTAAGCCAATGTTTGGTCATTTCCTTCTGGTTAAATTCACTCTCCAACCCAAATATTCAAGAATGCCATGGTTTTATGACCAGCATTATTAGTTAGGGAAATGAGCTGGGGGATTCTTCTAACCTACCCATAATCCACCTTCTCCTGGGGTTTGGTTCTGGCAGAGGCTAGATTATATCCTGAAAGACATAACTGACCTGTTTGTCAGAAATTTCAGTTTAGGGTGATGAACACCCAGGGTCTCAGTGAATAGCCTTTGGCTGGGCCTTGTAACTCTGAGAAGTTGGCTCCATCTTTAACAAATTTATAAAGACTTGATGTCAGTCTAGGTTACCAATCCGTATCATTCCTTAGAGGAACCAGTTCCATCCCTTCTCATTCTTTATCATCAGTCTTTTATTACCATTAACCTTTTCTGTCTTGTGCAATGGCTATTTTTCTAAGTTTATTTTTCTTAGTAAGGGACCAGGTCTTTTGTATTCATAAATTCTCATAGTCTCTAACACAAAACAGTCAAAGAAGGGCAGCATCCCATAGAGCAGTGGTTCTCAAAGGGGGAGATTTTGTCCCTCTGGGGACATTGGCAACTTCTGAAATCATTATTTTGTTGTCACAGCGGGAGGGGAAGTGCTATTGGCATCTAGTGAGTAGAAGCCTGGGATGCTGCTAAAAATCCTATAATTATTGAAACAGCTTTCCTCAGCAAAGAATTATCTGGCTCAAAATGTCACTAGTGCCGAAATTGAAAAACTCTGCCATGGAACCTCAATTTGGGAAAGTTTTTAGTCACAGAAACTTTATTGCAAATGAGATATTTAATGCAGATCCAACATAAAAAGTAAGCAACACCCAACAATTAAAATGAGTTTATGCAGGGTAGGGGTTCACAGCCCCACTTACCAGGCCTCCCCATCCTCTAGTTTTCTTATAAGCCCCTGAAGAATCTTGGGGCTCAGTGGAACACAGCTTATGTAGCCAAAAAGCATAGGATTGAAAGTCACAAGACATGGATGGGGAACCTTGATTCACTACTTACTAGCTATACAATCTTGGATGGGTTGCTTTACCTTTTAGGGTTTGTTTCTTGGCCTGTAAAATGGGATAGTAGTATGTGTCTCATACGATTGTTTAAAAATGGAATGAGATTATAAGTGTACAACTACCTAGTAAATGCACTACTTTGCTATTGATCAAACAACCTGGTTAATACAAGGTTAATTCTTATTGAATTACTGACTGTGGAAAAATGAGACTACAATAATACTCAAAATATGCAAAGTCTACCCCATAGTGGTTTGATGAGAATCTATTCCCGGAAGCCAGAGAAAGTTTAGAAAGTAGATTCTCATATTTTTTGAAACAGATACAATCTTAATAAACTTGGTCTCTCAGAAAGACTCCAACACTATTTTCTTACTTAAATTAAAAAAAAAAAAAAAAAAGGAGAGAAATACTTCAACCTTTTCAGCTCCACTTTTAAAGAATAACTTCCCATCTATGGCACTGTTTGTGAGTTCTCTCTAAATTCCAGGGAATACTGTGTTGATATAATAATTTCCTGCTTCTCTTCCATGTTTTTTACATCCATCTCTGATATAATCCCTACTCTTGCCTGTACTCTTTGCTGATACAATCCAAACTCCTTAGCATCACATTCAAAGCCCTTCAGAATCTCTCCCCAATCTAACTTTCCAAGCTCAGCTCCTACTGTCTACTACTCCATACCCTACACTTCCCAAACACTTGATCATTACTTAGGGAACTGAACAATGTTTTCTAATGCCTTAAGTTTGGACATACTTTTGGCTGTATCTCAGTCTGATTAATGCTACTTTGGGGTCTCTGCCCTTTTCTCCTTTTTTTTTTTAAATTGAAAGTGACCTTGGAGCAGAGGTTAATGGAAATATTAAAGACTTTGAGAACAGAGAAAAAGGGGATGTTGTATTTGGCTCAATTACACTTTGCCAGTCTCAGTTTCCCTCACGGTCCTTTCTAGGTTTATATACACAGCCTGTATCTAGCATATCTCCCATACCTTCATTCATTATGTTGTAGCCTTGTGTGTCTCTCTTACTGGACTGTCACCCTGGGAGAGTAAGCACAGTATCTAATTCATCTAGGCTTCTCTAACTCTCACAGATTCTCCAGTAGAGATCCTGGCCCAATTAGGAAACCTCAAGAGTCTCACCTTCACATAGTCATATTCACAAAGGTAGGAGGATTCCAAGTTGAAGTGCATGAAGTATAGCTTGATCCGAAATCCCTCTGGGACAGTGATATTCCAAGTCACTTTCGAATCACTTGGGTAGGAGTCTGGATAGCCAGGTGACTGGATCTGACCAAACATATTGTTAAGCTCCACAGTGTGGGCCAAAGCCTTCATCAGGGAGAAGCACAGAGTGTGATAGAGAAGGAGCCACCTGAAACACATAAATGGATCTACTTAACATTCACAGACACACTATAGGTCCTCACTATTTAATTAAATCAGCAGCCAGAAGACCAAGTTCTCAGTATGTCTCTGTCACTAACCTGCTGTTATTACTTTTCCTCTCGAGCCTTGCTTACCCAGTCTGTAATACAGGAAGACATTAACTCACTGATTTCTAAGGTTTCTTCCAGTTGTGCTTTTTTGAAGATGTGATAATAGTATTAAACTTTCCCAGAAAGTCCCACATTTGAGAGTCTGACACATATCATTTTTCTGTTGAAAATGTAAATTTCATAATTAAATAAAAGTTGATGTCATTTCTTCAGCTCAGCTTCATTTAAAAATTGTAAATGCTTGCTTCAGTTTCTAAAAGGTAATAGTAACATGGTAGTATTGGGGTGAGATTTATACTCAATGATGAGATTTGCCATCTCTTAAACAAATTTAATGAAATCGATCAGATATAAAAAATTTTGAATTAAGAAAGGATGAGTAAAATACATTTTTTTCCCCTCTTGGTAAGTGTTCTTATAAAAGGACCAAACCCCTACAACTTATTTCCAGCTGTAGGAATCAGAAATAATAGACTGTTTAAAGAGTTGCAGAAGGGACAAGAAAAATTCAATAAAACTCATAGAATATGCCTAAAGTAGCTGATTCAATAAAGAGGCAGAACGTCCAAGGCTGGTCAAAAACCTAATGGTCAATATACACTATGACAGACATCTAATAGACTTCCCCCACTGCAAGACCCAAGGACTTTGAACTCAAACGTCCCAAACCTGGCTCATCAACATCTTCCGTAAGTCCTATTTATTCTGCTTCCTACGTTTCAGAAATCCATCTGTTTTTCTCTAGTCAATTAATTTAAATGTTTTTATCTGGCCTATTGTTATTGCATCCTAAGTGATCTCCCTGCCCCCATTATACCATTCAGCAAGCTTCCACCAAAGTTGATTTTCTAAAACAGATGTGATCGTGCTGCTTCCCTGTGCCTGTGGAGTAAAACATCTGCTCCCAGAATGGCTGGTGAGCCCTTTCTGATCTAGTACTGATCTTCCTGTCTATCTCAGTGCCGGCTGTGCTCTGGCATGTCATCCTGGGAGAATGCCATTCCCATCCATACCTCTGCCTCATTACACATTCCCTGCTCATTTCTTACCTACTTGTCTTATTTCTCCTCCACCATCCAGCTCAAAGCTTCCCAGGCTATGCAGTATCCTTCATTCCACAGCTCCCTGTAGTATATGCTTCCGTTAGAGCATATATCACACTATACTGCTTTAGAAGTACAACACATGAAGTTAGATGTATTTGGGTTCGAATCCCATTTCTTCTATTTACTGGTTGTGAAATCTTGAGTAATTAGTCTCTCTAAGCTCCAGTTTCCTCAATATGTAAAATGGGGAGTATAATCTCTAATTATAGGACTCATATAAGCATTCAAGATGATGTATACAAAGGACCTAGTATAAAGGCTGGTATACAATAGATTATGACTGACTGACTCATTGACTGACTGAATGAATGAAAATGGAGCCAGAGTATTATATAGTCCCAAAAGTCAATGCTGGGAAGTTAAACCAGCATCTTCAGATTAATAGTTATAGCTAATCAGGAAGCTGTTTGTCCCCAACCCTCCCTCCCAAGTGTACAGATGCATATATGTGTATATATGGATACACATGAATTTTTGAGTGTGTAAACACAAAAAGGTAACTATATACATAGATTAGCTGTCTCATATAATATTGGTATAAAAGGTAAATAAATAGATAAGTGCAAAAGTTCTAGAAGGATATCACCAGGGTTTTAATAGTGGTTATCACTGAAGTGGGAATATGGGTGTTTTTAATTTTGTTTTTGTGTATATGAAATGTTCAGATTTGTCTAGAAGGACCTATACTATTTTTTCAATAAAAAGAAAAAAATAAAGTAATTTAAATTTTTCCAAGGCTCCTACAAATAGCAACATATGAGATGAAACTAGAGAAACAAAATGTTTTAAACCAATTGGCAGGGTCAATATTTTTTTAAACCAATTTTGGAGGGAGGGCCTCAGAGGCAGAGAGAAGGGAAGGCATAAGTCCAAGTTCACCAGTGAATTTACAGGAAAGCTGAGTTCAGAAACTCTCACTTGCAGGGCCTACGCAGTCCCACTTTCAAGTGAGGAAATGTACCATTGTCAGCAGGGCGGGAAGCTCTGGTTCAATGCTGCCTCAGAAGAGAAGAGTGCTTATTGTATTGTGGGTCAGAAGAACTAGGTTCAAGTCCAGGCTTTGACTTCATTTATCTGACCCACTGTGGGGAAGCGTATAAGGTTTCAGTTTCTTCATCCATTCAGTGGTGATAACGATGGCTTCCCACAGGGCTGTTTTCAGAGTAAAGGAGGATTAGAAAGTACTTTGTTAACTGTCCGGCCCTAGGCAAACATTAGTTGTGATTACTCCATCATGATGCTTCCCGAAAAGCAGGGAGGGGTTAGGAGTATGCTTTGGCTCCCAAACTGGACTTTCCTGCAATAGCGACATCCAGATTATGCAAGGCTGAAAGGTTAACTTTCTTCATGTCCGCTTTTTCCAGACCACATGGAGGAGACTCTGAGCCTCCTAATGTGGGTCTGTCAAGGGCTGGCTGCTGACAGCCCTAGGAGGCCCAGGACCATGTGTGGTAGGCAACCTGTCAGCGTCAACGTGGGAGGAAGTCCTGTGAAGCTTTCTATTCTGTTTTGTTTGCATCTCAAAACCGTCAAACATATGAAACAAATATCTCCTTGCACATAATGGGCTTAAGCATATGCTTGCTTGCTTTAGGGGCTGCAAATCAAAGAATGCAAGTGGCGGCTTTCATTCCCCATCACACTCTCTGAATTTTTTGGCTTCTTATACACCAGGCACCGTCTGTACAATTCCTGACACCTGCTATCTATTCTCCAACTAATCAAAAAAGTTTTGCTACATTTGCTTGAAATGTCAAAAGTATTGTATAAAGCTGGGATTTCATGAGCTCTACTATAGGAGCAGGCGATCAGAAATGCATAAAAATGCCTGCATATATCAATGGTTGTGGAATGAGTAGCACTTTCTATCCTTTCCATTTATTCCCCTCATTTCAACTTACACTACACCCAGACTGTTTTTGAGTAGAAGAGTTGAAAGGGACTATATAGATCCCTTTGGCAACATCCTTATTTGACAGATGATGAAAAGAATACCCCAAGAGATGACATGTCATGCCCAATACCATATGGTGAATTAGCATCAACAGAAGTAGGGAATAACAAAAGCTCACAGAGGAGGCTGGGTCCCTGCCCATATCATGCCCAGGCATCTGGCCAAAGCAATTAATCCTGTGAAAAATAATTCAAAACCCCATGGCTTTATGTGAAAATT